GCTGAGGGGTGCCTGTGTGTGATGGGAACTGAACCTGCGGTGTCGTTGAGGGGTGCCTGTGTGTGGTGGGAACTGAACCTGCGGTGTTGCTGAGGGTGCCTGTGTGTGATGGGAACTGAACCTGCGGTGTCGTTGAGGGGTGCCTGTGTGTGGTCTACAGAAAGAGGCATATGAGGGTTTTATGGGGGTTTCCCACATGACTGTGAAGTCTGGAAAGCCCTGCATCGCCCACAGTGAGCTGCAGGCCCAGGGAAGCCGGTGATTAGCTTCGTCCACATTGGAAGTAAGTCCAGCCTCAGTCTGCCTGCCTGAGAACTGGGGATCCACTGTCTGAAGCAGAGACCAGGGCGTCCCAGCTCAGGCAGGAGCAAACTTGCCTTTCCTCACCTTTTGCGCTTTCTACTCAGGCTCCCCGGGGCACGGTGCTGCCTGCTGTGGTGAGCACCACCTTCACACGATCTTCTGTTTCAGATGGTATCTCTGAAACACGTTCATAGATACACCCAGAAATGAGTTCCAACTGCTGCTGGTCATCTGCCAGGCCGGTCGGGTGGACACAAAATGGACCATCACACCAAACTGTCAGAGCATTTATTGGTGTGCCCCGTTGTGCTGCCAAGCTCTGGAGTTGGTCCCACAGCTTGATACCCAGTGTCAGTCTCCTGTGAGTTCTCCCTGTCCCCTTTGGGGAGCGTAGCTGTGCTGTGCTGTCCTCCCCTTTATCTCTGTCGCCTCTTTTACCCGCTCCCTTAAAGAGAAAGAGAGATGCTGTTTCAGGAGTTAGTCTAGGAACCTGGTATGGATTGTGTGGTGCCGTTTTTCAGTGATTCTGTGAACTGTTAGGATTTGGGGACACAGTAAATGTTCATAGCTTTTGAACACCCAGCTGTTTATTTTTTTTTTTTAATTTTAGACATTTTGTTATTTGATTTCCTAAGTCAAGATCAATACTAAGAGATTAGTCAGTTACCTAGAAGTGTCCACACATTCCCTGGACACATCAGCTCAGGGAAAAGGACCCAGGACACATGAAGGTGGAGAAGCTGAGCATTGGGCCACCTCTTTGGGAGAGTGGGGGGCTGAGCATCGGGCCACCTCCTCGGGAGAGTGGGGGGCTGACCATCAGGCCACCTCTCCTCGGGCGAGGGGGGCTCCGGCAGCACATTGCTAAACACTCACACAGTCACATTCTAAGAACTGTGACCTACTGTCAGCCTAGAACGCTTAGAAAAAGTTCTCATTTTCTCAGAATTTCAGCTGATGGCCTAAAGCTGAGGTAGTATGTTAAAAGTACAGATATTTTTATGTATGTTAAAAGTACAGATATTTTTATGTTCACGTGAGAAAGGGAGGCATTTGACATTTTCTGAGTACTCTGCCTGAGCCCCATGTCTTACACACGTCCTTTCATGCAGTCCTTTCAGATAAGAGGTATTGTTATCTCCAATTTGTACCTGAGAACACTGACACTCAGAGAGGTTAAGTGACTTGCTGGAGGATCAGACACAGGTTCGAAGCCAGATCTGATGAAATCCAAACTGCATCCTGTTCTCTACAGGACATGGTGTCCCTTAACAAGCACGAAACTCCTGAGGAGTCTGTCCGTCGGGGTGAGAACAGCCACCTCACTATGTGGTCGTGTCATAGTGGGACTATGGACCTTGCAATATCTAACACCAAATAAGTGTGACTTTAATGGGGAGTGCAGCAGAAGGCTGCTGAGTGGACGGGCCTGGGGGAGACACCAGGTCAGTGTCCAACTCAGCAGCTGTGTGGCTCATCAGTCATAGTCCCCGTCACACACCCTCGAGGGCGGCAGCGTTTCCCAGAGGCTTCCTTAGTTAGTACAATTATCCAGTAGATTAATGCCATGAGCTTTATTCCCAGGGTTGTTAAGTTCTCCATTAGGCAATGACAGGATAATTAGAAAACAAATACAGTTTATGAAAAGAAGACTCATTACATAATTGTATTATTTTAATGTCACATTTAAAGAGAGTAATATTTATAAGTAAAAAATAATTCAGAAGAAGCATCACGATATTGATACCAGCATGGAGGAAGTGAACAGCCTAAAATGTTATTCAAAGCATCACAACAGCCTATTCTCTGAAAAACAAGACAGAAGAGCATTTTTGTAGCATCAGACTGTTTTCTGTAAAACTTCCTAGATAGCTTATAAATTGCCGATTAGAGAAATAAAATACTTCCACTGGTACTACATAGAGCAAAGTCATAAAGCACTAAAATCTCTCCGGTATTTCTGGTTAAACAACATGGATTGCCTTTCTTTCTTTCTTTTCTTTCTTTTTTTTTGTTGTTGTTGTTGCAGTTTGGCCAGGGCCGGGTTTGAACCTGCCACCCTTGGTATATGGGGCTGACACCACAGGTGCTGCTGGATTGCCTTTCATTGTGGGAAGGAGTGCACTGTGAGGAGACTTTTCTAAAGAGGTGCTAACACTGTCCACTCCTGATCTTTATAAAAACTTTTCTTTATCTCAAGAATGCTGAGTTATTAATTTTCATAGAAGGAGGGATTAGAAGAAGCCTACAGGAGGCAGGGAGATTTCAAAACACTTTAAGTTTGCCCTTTGGGTTCCATTGTTTGGTTTTTAGTGCATGTTTTTTAGTTTTTGGTGCCGTTCCAAGCCTGCTCCTCTGTCAAACTCCCAGTATAGCCTCATTGCTGATGAAGAGGTTTGAGAAAAGTAATTATTCAAGGGTAGACTTGATGCAAAAGTCATGAAACCTGAAATTTCTTTGTCACTGTGCAATTTCCTGAACATTTTGAGGTTTTTCCTAATGCAGCTATGTTGGTGTCATTATGATGTTTAGTGCAGAGGGAGATGAGGACTTGGCAGAGCCCGCTCTGTGGGCGTCTGTGGGATGTCTCTCTGTGACGGACCTACTACGTGCAGTGCTTCCATGTCAGAGCTTAGACTGAGCTGTGGTATAGGCAGACATGATTCCCCAAACTTAATTTTGATTGTAAAAATTGTTAAAGTCTCATAATCATTCATTTTCTAGGCATATAAGCACTGACTTGTTTATCATAGATATTTGGTAAGAACTCTTCTTTGGTTCCTGTGATGACTTTCCCCCTTGTCTTTAAATTCAGGCTCTGTGACAACACCTGACTTGAGACTTTTGGTGAGTACCTACCAGAGCACAGCGACCAGGGCATCCTATGGTTCTTCCAGTTTGTCGGTCTTGGCCTAATGAGAAAAGGACATTCACAAGAACACATGATTAAATTCAAATTAAATTGCATTCTGCTCGATTAACAGTTGTTGGCTACTTTGCCTAGTTCAGGATTAAGACCATATATTCTACCATATTATTAGTTGTTTCATCATGTCCATGACTTAAGTCCTATAAATTGAGCATTAATTTTATCTCTGTATTTTCCACTAAATGACAATTTCAACATATTCAGTAAATTGAACATAAAGTGAATTTTTGATCACCCTACCTTCTCTTCCAGGAACCCCGGGGTAACCGTTGGGTTTACGGAGGAAGTGGAAAGCTTAGTTGTGCTGGGCTTTGGTGAAGTTGGAGGCACGAAAACTCCCGCATTGTCGTGCCTGAAGTTTATGACTTCTTTTTGCAAAAACGGTATCACTCCTTCTACTGGCTATAGAGAATGAGAAAGAAAAGTTGTTATAGGTTCAAGTAGAAAGTCTAAATTGGGCAGGGTGTAAAGCCAGAGGACTGACATGCAAAGTGAATGTGATGATCAAGTAGTGAGTTCCTTGTCAGTGTTTAGAGCAGGGGTCCTCAAACTTTTTAGACAGGGGGCCAGTTCACTGTCCCTTGGAGGGCCAGACTGTGGGCCCCAGGACAAGTTGGCTGCTAAGCAGGACAGGCAGTGGTGGCTAAAACACCCGATGGGCCGGATAAATGTCCTTGGTGGGCCACATATGGCCTGTAGTTTGAGGACGCCTGGTTTAGACCGTGAGTTCACGGAGGGCTCTGAACACACACCAGCAAACATGGCTGCCCGACACCTGCTTCACACACCGGTGCCCAGAGGACTAAAATGTCTGATGAACTCAGTAAATTGAATCTTGACCGGAGGAACCGGAGGAAGAAGCAATAATTGTTGATGGAATCACAAAAAAAGTTGGCATTAAAATGAACATAAGTGAGTTGTCAGCTGTTTTTGTAGAGACTCTCACCATCACAGCCATTTCCGGGACTGTGCCTAGGAGGGGATCAAAGGCTAGCTGCTGTCCTCCTGGTATAACCTAAAAACACAGAAGATGAAAAAAAATCCTCATTAGTGATCTACAAAAATAGGCTCTTTGACCCCGCAAAGCAGGTTAGCTGCCCTTGATTGAAGTTACTTTTTGGATTAGAAGGAGTGTAAGGCAATTCCTGGTATTAGAACAGGCCTGGCCCTCAGCCCTGGAAGCCCTGCCCCTGCACCCTCTGCTGGGCATGAACACCCCATGGAGGGTCAGTGCCATTGTGGACAGAAGTGGCTCGCAGTGGAGAGCACTAATCCAGACTGTTGGGTGTGTGCATGAAGTACACTCAGGCACTCCTGTCCCTGGGACTCTGCCCTCTCCTCTCTGCTCTCCCGTGGCCCGCCAGGTAGGAGTCAGACACTCTTTTCTCTGAGTCTCCACCCTCTCTGCTCTCGTGGGGCCAGTCAGCTGGAAGTCAGATGTTCTGCCGCACCTGCTCCTGCTGTTGCTGTGGCCCCGGCTGTGGAGGGAGCTGTGTGGCTGCTTGTGGAGGCTGCTCCCAGGGCAGGAGCATGTACATCGGGTAGTACGGAGACACCTGTTTGTAAAGAGAGAGTCCGTTAGATCAGCACAGGCCACACTGGGTCTTCCAACGTCAATACTATCTCAGAGCCATTCCACATCTTAGCAGCTTTGTGTGACCTCCAGAAGTGACTCTCACTCCACACTACTGGATTCTGCTCTTTCCTTTCTAAAGACAGAGTCCTGCTATGTTGCCCAGGGTGGCCTTGAATCCTTGATCTCAGGTCATCCTTCTACCTCTCCTGCCCAGTCACCAGGACTATAGGCGTGTTTGCATGGAGCCTACCTGGACTTTGTTCTTAAGGCTTCTTGGTTAAACATGTTTAGAAAATAGTACATCCAACTGAGTAAAAGGTATTTTTAAATTAAAAAAATAACACCTTGAAACTTCTGTGTACAAATTATTTCACAAATACTTAAGAGAAGAATATTCCATCTAGGTTTTTCTCCTATGTTTTTGGGAATTATCATTCTTTAGGACCTGGTATTAGAAGTTCTGCTATAATGAATGAAAGATCATAAATGTATTGCATTTAATAATTGCCATTTGTCAAAATGATCTATATTTCTTTAAAAGTGTTTGGAAAAATCCCCAAATAGACAAGTCACAGAATCACCTGCACCTTCTCTGCTCACACAGCACGTGGTTTGCACTTGTGTTCTGTGTTTACAGTGAGCTTGGCCTGTCCTCATTTTTGCATTCTGTTTCTTTCCCTTATTAAGTAGGAGACTATATTAGACTGAGATTTAACAGCTGTGGTTCTAGGAAAAGTATATTTTGTGCAGTGGTTCTTCATCCTGAGAATCAAAATCACCTTTGAACATTTTAGCAGAGAACCACATTTAGCATCTGTTCCTGGGTTTTGATCCATTAGGCGAGGGCTTAGCTTCAGGCATACGTAATTCTCAGAATTACCACCAGAGACTCTAACGTAAAGCCAGGGTGTGGAGCTGCTGGTTGGAGGTGAGAGCAGGAGATAGAAGGGTGGAGAATTCTATTCCAACTCAGTTGTTTACTTGCAGTAGGATTTAGATTTTGATCTTAGTAAGCCTAAGTTTCCTGATCCTTAAAATGCAGTAATTCTATTAGTCATACATCTAATTCTCTACCTGCATATTCATAGAATGAGCTAATGTCTAGAGGTAACTTGTTTTGCAATGGGAGTGGAAGGGCAACAATATCATATAATTACAGTAGAGCCAAATGGTATAACTTTTTATAAAAAGGTCAATACTCTGCTGATGAACAATATCATTTATCTACAGCCCTGCTACTTTGAACCCAGGATAGTTTTAAAATTAATGACCTTAACATTGATGAGACTTTTTATATTAATATAATGATACACTTTTTGAAGATTCTCTTACTTAATGGAACTCACCATCACTTAATTGTAACATGGAGTTAAATCAGAAATAACCAGGGAACTAGAAACATTTTGAGAAGAATTTCATAACTGCCAATTGATGTGGGCGAGTGTTTCTCATCGCTGCATCGTGTGTAATCAGTTCAATACACCCTCCTCTGAAATGAAAGTTAGGGTTGGGTAGGAAGCCCGTGGTATTTCTTTTGAATTATTCCTAACGCCAGACCATGTCTTACATTCAGAGAAGACGTCACCTCAGCATCATGAACTCTCATGCTTCCAACGGGGCAATGCCCTGAGGATTCAGGGGTTCTGGAGAAGCCCATTAGCTGCCTGTCCTAAAGAAGCTAAGTGAACCCCACGTCAACGAACTGATGCCAGCCTGGCAATGATGTTATGTAGACAGTGATGTCACTGTCTGGTTTCCGAGTTAGAGCTGAAGCATAAAGGACAGCATTCTGGAGAGCGTGGGACGCCCCTCCCCGAGCTGTGGCCTCCAGCCACTTACCTGTGCTTGTTCTTGAGGCATTTTGAAGGAGAATACGTAGGGCATCACCTGTCAACATACACAAAAGTTAGACTTTGTTATTCAGGATCCCTGAGCTGCTTTCAAGAGCGAGCTCATTATTTAAATTTATCATTTGTATTATCAGGCTGCCGTAACAAAATGTTATCTATTCTATGTACCATCATTAATGTACATTGCATTTTTTTAAAGATGAAATTTCTGTGATTATCCAGTCTCAGATTTGTTTTAACTCATTTAATTTGTGGCTGTGCCCCAGAAGAGCTGATTTAAATGATATTTTTCATGTTATAAATCAGAAAACCTAAGGAAGTACTTTCAGTGGAGGTAGAAGCATGAGAAAAAATTCTTGTTCAAGGCGCCATTTCAAAGACGACTCCTCACTGTGGTTTACACCCCACGTGCAGCCCTCGCCTCGGGATGGGAGAGAGCAGCAGACTTGCCTGGTGAGGGCCTCGCTGTGGCTGCACTGGGGTCGGAGCCTGGGAAGGGTCCAGCCGGCCTGCCTGGGCCCCCTGGGCAAAACTGAGCTGTCCTGGGGAAGGCATCTGGTTTGGGAACAGTCTGGCCAACCAGTCCTGAGATGGTAAGTAGAACTGGGAGGGGTCTGGAATGTGGGCCTGTTGCTGCTGCTGCAGGACCCCCGAGAAGGGAGGAATCCATGAATCAAACGGGCCCTGAAAAGACGCAGAGGAAGAAAGAAAAAAATTGTCTTTTATTCCTAAGAGACTTTCAAATCAGTTTTGAGCAGGAAAGAGATAAAAAGTAAGTAGTTTCTTATTTCTAGAGTTGCATTATAAAAAAGACAGCATCTTTGACTCACTATAAGCCACAGAAGCTAAGAAACCCTCCTAAATTCACAGTTGTCCCCAGGCATGTGAGGCTGATGGAGGGGCACGAGGTCTGCCTCCCCCACCCCAGCTTCACACGCCTGGTTAGCTGGTGTGACTAAGTGTGAAATAGTGAATTTACTCTCTCATAGCTGTGAGATTTAGTGCCTGGACTATACCAAGTTCTCAACAAATAAGTGTTAACCTAATTATGGTCTGTACTTTAACTTTTAAATGAATGGTTGTTAGAATACATGGGACAAATCTGTAACTGAAAAAATGGAGATTGCAGAAATGGAATCAAGAGACACTTTGTTTTCATGCAAAATACCATAATAAAAGAGCAGCAGGAAAATTGCTCTCCATAAATTATCGAGGTGGTGGTACCTGAAGCTGCAGTGGCACAAGCTGGGCGTTGCGAAGATTCAGCAGTAACTAGAGAAGAAAGACAATATGAAGAGGAAATTACTACACACGCTAAAATAATTGAGAGTGATGTTTGCTACAAATACAGGACAAGTCAGAGCTGGGCATCAGTTTTTGTTAGAAGTGAGACATTTGCTCACCAAGCTTGCATTGAATCACAGTAATTAGAAGTCAGAACTTAAAGCAAGGTTGGGATTTAACAACCTCCCTGCTGTGTGGGGCTGTTCAACTTCACCCTTTTTGGTGGTTTTAACCAAAGTCAGTTCATGCTTTTAAACACCTGTATACACTTCAATTAGATTCTATTAGAACAAAAAAAAATATAGAAGATATTCTTTCCACCTTTAAAGAATTTACGATCAAACAGGAGAGGCAGAGTGACACTTGAGACGTAACCTGGAGTACACAGCAAATGTGAACACAGGACGTGTGCTCTGCCGTGCGTGTAGCTGGTGAACAGGGGCCCAGGAGTTCACGTGGGGGCTCTGTCTCTTCCTACCAGGTTATAATTTTTAAAAAAGGAAGATAATGTTTCAATTACTCAAGCTAACCTCATTGCTGTTGCTTGCGGACAAAAGATTCTGTGGGACAAGCTGAAAACAAAAAAGAAGAAAGAAGTGGTGAGACATGGGATTGTTGTAGGCTTTACACAGTGTGAGCAGCGATGCCATGAAATCACTTACTGGGGCTGACAGTGTGGCTCCCAGGAGTCCAAGAAGAATTATAATTTTCATTTTCAGATGGTGTACCTAGAGAATAATTTGTGATTATTTAGCATTAAGAAGACTCTGCCTAAAAAATCGAGACAAAAGTAATTAGTTAATTTTGTTCAATCAGAGAAATCGGGTGAATTCTTCTGTATTTACTCATCTTTTAGAATTTGAAATTTAGAAAATGGCTCAGCGCTCATAGCTCAGTGAGTGGGGCACTGGCCACATACACTGAGTCTGTCAGGTTCAAGTCCAGCCGAGACCTGCTAAACAACAATGACAACTGCAACCAAAAAATAGATGGGTGTTGTGGCGGGTGCCTGTAGTCTCAGCTACTTGGGTGACTGAGGCAAGACAGTCAGTTAAGCCCAAGAGTTTGAGGTTGCTATGAGCTGTGACACCACAGCACTTTATCCAGGGTGACAGCTAGAGACTCTGTCTCAAAAATAAAATAAAATAAAAACTTTATACTTAGAAATCTTTATAATGAAACTTATCCTTTACTCTCAGAACAGACATTTATAAGAACCAGAATTGTTGGCTTGTTCTTTTAGCTTGACCAGAAGACTCATTGGTGGCATGTGACAGCTGAATGAATCAGTGGACATTACCGTCCCTGGGCTGCTCTGAGGAGGGTGGAGCCCTCAGACAAGGAGAGGTCACCCCTGGGGCACCCAACTGGGGCTTCATTATTAAAGCAGTTTTAATGTTGAAAAAGTTCTACAATAACGATATGACAAACCAGTTCAGTAATAGATAGTTTCCATTTAAAAGTCTAATAACAGTAAAAATCTATTAAAAATAAACAACTGAGTCAACATGTTTCTTACTAAGGGAATAGATTATAAAAACTGAACTCTAGTATTGACCTGTGGTGTTACCTGTGGAAGTATTGTATCTCTAGGTGTGAACGTTCCTTCCCCAGTTCCGATCACTGACCTAGCCAACCATTTAGGATGACCTTGGCAGTCCCTTCTTCTGAGAGCGACGGTCTGGTGTCTTACCTTACTCCTAGACCTATCCAGAGATCTAGAACCGGGCAGGGTCTGGATTCTTTTTCTCTCTCAGCCCTGCTGCTTGCAGGTTCTCTTACATTTTAAAACCATCTTTAGAAAAAAAAGGACCAATCATTTTTCAAAAGGATCAGTGATTCAGTGGGTTTCAGACAATGGCTTAGCTAATAACCCCTTTGTTAATCATCTAGGTGGTATATGGGTGCCCACACTTTGGTAATGTCATTAAATTATCCCCTGAGAAATGTTTTCCTGTGATCATAGCTGGTTTCTGTCTTGGTTATGACTAACTCTTTGGTAATAATTTTATTCTGTCCCTTCTCTTACCATCCTTAAAGTGGATACCCTAATTGGGTAACCTGAAAAGACTTTGCCAAATTCAAGGACAAATGGATGATTTTTTTTTATTTCAAAAGTGAAATAAAGAATCATTAGACAGAAGGCATAGGTCTGAGAAACAAAACTTCAAAACCTAGTTAGTGGCACTGGGGTTCTGTGGCTCCTCAATGCTGCGCCGAGGACACATGAGCTGGTTACGCTTGGAAACACTTCCTGCCTGTGGGATGAAACGCTTTAAAAACTGATAAATTCACATGTGTCTGTGAAATTTAGTCATATGTGATCACATTGCTGGAATAAGTGAGTTGAGAAGTATGAAGTGTGAGGGCTACATTTTTAAAAATAGCTATGAAGGAATTTTTATATTAAAAAAATTCTCTTTTACTAAATATAAGTTTAACATGTAAAATACAACTAAGTGTTACTGTCTGCCCATCACCGTTATTCACACTCCCTTCATAAAGGGAATGTTGTCTTTGTTTTGTGTTCTTTTCTTTTTGTGTTTTGTTTTTCTTTTACTGGACGTTGTTAATATTGACTCCATTCTAAAAAGTAGTCCAGGACCATACATGTTCCTGTTAATGAATTATCAATGAAGCATTGGTGGCAGGTTTAACTAGTGCCTGACTTACTGGTTTATGTGACCAGCTGCTGCCTGGAGCATGCAGTAGACTGTGGGTGACCTGGGTGGGGGCTCTGTGCTGCCTAATGGTGCAAATTTATAATTAATGACCTTGGTCTATCCTGAATATTGTTAAATTAAACATAATGCACCATAAGCCATGTTTTCCTGGGATTTTCTATTGTATTCTGGAGGGTGTTGGGCAGCTAATTCCATCACAACACCAGAGAGTTGTCAGAGCCAAGCTGTGACAGGCAGAGGACAGTGCAGCAGTGCTGGGGACGGTGCTGCAGGGC